AATGTGACTTGATATTGGTCGCGGCACCATATGTGATGTTCTAATCTTTTGCTGATTCGGATGGGAATCTGGTTAGATTCAGCATCAGCCTTGTCGTTCCCAGCTCGCCTCCAACGTCTGGTTACCGAAGTAACTGTTTTGATTTCTAGTCTAACCTACCCACGTTGTGATTTGATCTTAGGTAGACGAAATCAATCAGTCGCCGGGCCGTAATTCAAGTCGAGTCCGAACAAGGGTGATATCGCACAAGTATATGTAAAAGAAAATAAAATAATAACTCGAAAAGTTCAAATGTGTTAAAAAAAGGATGACAATATTTTACATCTGGTGGTTGAATACAGGACTGAGTCTTCTTCCTAACCCGCTATATGGATTCGTGACACTTTGTGTTTGTTAGGCGGGTCTTAACATCTTAAGTTGTTTGTTCTTTAAGAAACTGGTTCTTGGTGTATCTTCAAGCGATATTCGTAAAACTTGTTTTGGTGGTATGAGTCTAAGTCGTTCTTCAAAAATAAATTGTTCTTGGTTATAAGTTGAGGTCGTGATTTGCGTGGAATCTTTCAGTCAGGTTCCTGCGAGGCGGGCCCAACTCAATCCAACTCAGCTGCGAAATGCGAACTTAACTCGAACCGCCAACTCAACTGGAACTGCCTTTCTCTCGCTGCGACTCTGCTTATATGGACGCCGACCGAAACCAGGGTGGGCTTGTCGGGGTTTGAGGTTCTTTGATAATTCTAAATCCACAATCCACTTCTTTGTTTTCGGTCAGGAAAATTTATTATTTTCCATTTTTGGAAGTCTTTCGTCCTTCCACCTTCTTCTGTTCTCATATTGGTATCTCACCATAACCTCAGAGGGTGTCAACGGGTTTTCCCTCTCTCTCACAGTGACATCTCATACCGATCTCTTCAATGGGTGACAACAGGTCTCCCCTCCTACTTCACATCCTTCGCCTAACTTTCACGCCATCATTCAGCCAATGTGCGCCCAGCAGTGTGAGTGTGGCTAGACTAGCCACGGTTTAAAAAATCTTGCTCAAAGAAAAAAAATTATCTTCTTTTTTTTCTTTTTTTTTCTTTTTCTTTTTCTTTACTTTCTCTTTCTTCTTCTCGACCACAAGTCCTTAGTCTCTTATCTTAACCGAATTTCATATGGAATTCGTCAACGATATTTTCGCCAATTATCAAGTGGGTGGTCAATTGGACGTATCGCACCTTGGTGCCAATTATTCGTTCTGATAAAATAATTTTGCTATCATAGCCAGCCCTGACAATAAACAGGTGTTTTCCCAAATGACATGGAGGTGGTTCAACGGACATTTTGGTTTCGGTCAAGCTTGACCTAATTAATTTTTATCTCCCAGCACTCTGCGGGAGGTCGCTTCTCCAACTTGTAATTTTAACATTGCCATGGGCAGATTGGGTGCGTCGTCATAAATTAAATTAAATCCGACACATCCGCGACCTTACTTTCCTCGCTAATGAGAATAAAACCTTTAGCATTTTTCTTTGTTAAAAAGAATAACATCGCTTAGTGTCCTTTTCGTGAAGGCTTCTTATCACCTAAATTCAATTCTCGCCTTTCTTTTTTTTCTTTCTTTCTAGCAACCTAAATAGTGTCACAGTACCAAGATGTCTAGAAATGGTAAAGTGTTTTTAGACTCAAATTCAAAGCTAAATCTATTCTATTTTCCATGTTATTTAATCTGTTGACAAGATCTACAAGAGATTATAATAATAAAGAGATAATGATAATGAGAAAGAACAGTGCAATATATAATCCGATGTTCTTATTAATAGTTTTATTTTTACAAAACAGTGCTCAATGTAAATCTAGAGAACACAAATATTATAAATTTGCTTATTTAAAACTATTGTTCCATCGCTATACAGGAATTACCATGTTTCAAGAACAGAAAGTAAAAACTTCAAATTCAGTTAAAGAATTAAATTAAACTTCTTCTTCCTGTTTCGAATCCGGTCCGAATTTTTTTGAGTGCGTGCTTTTAGCATCTTCATTCAACAGCCGACAAGAAAGCTCACAGTTGAAATATATTTTTAAAATAAGATCACCCATTGACGGATGAAACAGGGATTTGGGTTTACTCAGAAAATATAATTTCCACAGATAGCCCTCTAGTAACAACAAAATTCGTCGGAAGTGTAAGTTTCACTTCTTTGTTTATTCATCATCTCGTTGAAAAAGGACATAGGCGTGTCCGAAAATTCCGACTCTAAAATCTTTGTCTTCGTCCTTCGATTTAGTCAATGGCTGATATATAATAAATATTATCAATTTTAGTGCCAATATTGTTATCATTTTGTTGGCTTTTTACTTCTTAAATGTTATTAACCGGCTTATTAAATCCACATATTATAGGAAATATACGTAAACTACAGTGCTGTTCGATAAAAGTGACTCACCTGATTTTTTTTTACTAAATGTTCTCTTGTCCGACAAAACGAAAATTGAGCTAAATTCAAAGGATAAGCGATCTAAAATCAGAAGAAGAAGCTTTGAAAGCTCTTTGAATTTAGCAGTAAGTACTGTCAAGCATCCGTTCAGTATAATGTTCTGGGGATGCTTTTTCTTTTCATGGAACTGGTTACTTAAAACCTATTGAAAACACCCTCAGGAGCGAGCAGTACAAGAGAATTTTAGAGTCTTGTCTGCTCCCTTCTGCTGAAAGGGTGCAAATTGACCCCACCAAGCTCATTTTTATGCAGGATAATGTTCCCTGTCACAAATCAAAATTGATGAAGGAATAATCTGATGAGAAGCAGGTGAGTGTTATGACATGGGTGCCCCAATCTCCTGACCTCAACCCCATAGAAAGCTTATGGAGCATGTTGCTCAACTGCTTTCTCGAGAGCCTGTAATTTATAATGCTCCATTAAAAGAAAAGAGTAATCAGGATGACAGTAGAGGGAGATTGAAATTGAATTTAAATTTTCGCACATTAAATTTAGCTGGGACGCATGGAGCCAGAAAGGAGTTCCACGAGCGAGAAGTGCGAGAAAAGAAACTGTTAACATAGAGCCTACAGTCACACCTAACCAGCTCCGATCTAAATTGATGAGATCTCGACGCCAGTTTAGTACTGCGCTTAAATTCGAAAAGTCTAGTTACCATAGCTAAGAGTCCATTCGAACAATCACCATGAAAGTATTTATAGAAAAAAAACTCAGAAAGGCAAAACGTTGCAGTGGTAGGAGAGCTCAAGGTAAATAGCAGGGGCACCAGACCATATATGACAGGGATATTCTAAGCAGGGACCAACGGTAGGTTATAGAATTGTTAAATAGTGTTTGGAGAGAAACAGTGAACCGACTTTCTTAGCAGCTGACCTAGCAATGGATTCAATATAGTCTTCCCATTTCATATCAGCTGAGAACGTTAGCCCGAGAAGGCGAAACGAGTCATTTTCTTGTAGGTTAGCATCAGCCATGCTGGTGGATTACAGAAAGGGGTCTCAGATGATTAATGGAGAGAAGTTTAGTTTTCGAGGTGTTAAAACTAACAAACTGTTTTTGCCCATGTTAACGTCAGATTTGATGTCGTTTTGGACCTCGGTTGCCATTTTGACATTGTGGAACTGATCAGCCTTACTATCCAGGCAGGACTAAATGGTTGTGTCATCAGCGTAGATGCCAAGTTGAGAGCTGATGTGATCAGGAAAGTTATTAGTTAAAATTTAAAATGAGGGTAGGACAAAGGATGTTACCCTGGGGGACACGCGCGTTTATACGAAAGTATCTAGACGAGTCACTGTTCAGGATAACTTTCATTTCCCGATTTGATAGGAAAGACTGCGTCAGTTCAAAAATGTGACCGAAGACACCGCAAATTTTCAGCTTGTGTAGAAGACCTGTATGCCAAACCCTGTCAAAGGCTTTCGATATGTTCAATGCTACAGCCCGGTTTTCACCGTTTTTATCGAGAGCAGGATAGACTCTTTGTTCGAGTATCGTCAGTACATCAGCGGTTGACCTGGAGAAACGAAAGCCATACTGCTTGTCTGAAAAAAAGGACTTGAGGTGAGAGATGATGAACCAATTCAACAATGACTAGATACTCTAGTAGTTTACCAGAAAGAGGTACAAGGCTAATAGTTGGAAGGGTGGGACGCTTCACCAGCATTCTTAAAACCTTTTACAAAAGATGATAACTTCCTGTAGGCAGGAAAGCAGGAGGCAGGAAAGCATTTCTTATACAATTTAGAGAGAACAGGAGCCAGTTCCGGAGCACACTTCTTAAAGACTATTAAAGGGATACAATCAGGTCCACATGACTTGTGGGGATCGAGATGATAGCAGTAAACGTAGAAGGCTTTATATGCATATCATTCAACAGAGAATCAGTTCTATGTGGGAAGTTAGTTAAAGAATCTCCAGATGTGTTGTATACAACTGACAGAGTCCATATATCTGTATGTAACTGGCCCCATGTATGTCATCCAGATTAGAGTCTCGATTTGATGAGGCTTTTTTTTAAGTTCACGTGTTATAGTTTCCGTCGTCATCTCGTTGGAATAGATTAGCGGGCGATTATATCGTTTAGAGCTCTCAGTACACCGTTATACCAGTGGGCGTAAGGATATAATTAAGCCCTGATATATATGGAAAGTAATAGTAATTTTTGTAGGCCTTGATATGTTTTGTAAACTCTAATATTAGTATAAGCATCTTGTAAGCCTTCATATGATTGGAAATATTCAGTAAGTATTCCGTGGTCATAACTGAAGATATTAGTAGGCCGGGATCCGATTAGATGGACTTATTACGTCGTTTTATTATTAGAAGGGATTATTAGCCTGTTTTATATTGAGAAGAGGTTAGCAAGCCTTGAAAACATTGAAATTGCTAGTCTATAATACAGTGGTTATCAAACTTTATTTTCTCTGGGCGGCATATTCGGAATGAAAATTTGCTAGCGCCTCACAAAATTTTATGTGATAGAAAGTACATTTAAAAATAAAAAAAAAGAACAGAGAGAAGGCTAAAGGGAGATAACCGCGGATTCAAAATCAGAAAAAAATATCATTGATAATTCTCTCCTCCAATTTGCGGACCCTGGTTACTATATTTTTACTACTTGAGATAATGCAAAAATATTACAGTCATAAAATCAGTCAATAATTATTTTCAACTTTTTATACTGGGACTCATACATGCAATTACAAGTAATCAATAATAATATTTTAACTTTTGAAATTTTATTTATTTTTGGCATATCAATTTTTTAAACTGTTTCTAAATCATTCATTGTTTTTCAATCATACCGTCTCACCTGCTACCCTCTTCCACCTCACCTGCTATCCTCTTCCACCTCACCTGCTATCCCCTACCGCCACACTTACTATCCCCTTCCGCCACCCCTTGCATTCTTCTTCGGCCTCGCCTGCAATCCCCTTCCGCTTCACCCCTATCCTCTTCCGCCTCACCTGCTACCCTCTTCCGCCTCACCTGCTACCCTCTTCCGCCTCACCTGCTAACCTTTTAGGCCTCACTTGCTATACTCTTCTGCCACAACTGCTATCCTCTACCGCCACCCCTTGCATTCCTCTTCGGCCTTATCTGCAATCTTCTTCCGCTTCACCTGCTACCGTCTTCCGCCTCACCTGCTATAATCTTCCGCCATATTTGCTATCCTCTTACGCCACAATTGCTATCCCTTTCCGCCACCACTTGCATTCCTCTTCGGCCACACCTGCTATCCTCTTCCGCCACACGTGATATCCCCTTTCGCCACATCTGCTATCCCCTTCAGCCACCCCTTGCATTCTTCTTCGGCCTTACCTGCAATCCTCTTACGCTTCATCTGATATCATCTTCCGCCTCACTTGCTACCCTCTTCCGCCTCACCTGCTATCCTCTTCCGCCTCACCTGCTATCCTCTTTCACCACAATTGCTATCCCCTTCCGCCACCCTTTGCATTCCTCTTCGGCCTCACCTGCCATCCTCTTCCGCTACATCTGCTATCCTCTTCTGCCACCCCTTGCATTCCTCTTCGGCCTCACCTGCAATCCTCCTCCGCCACACCTGCTTTCCTCTTCCGCCACACCTGCTATCCTTTTCCGCCTCACCTGCTATTCTCTTCGTCCTCAACTGCTATCCCCTTCCGCCACCCCTTGCCTTCCTCTTCGGCCTTACCTGCAATCCTCTTACGCTTCATCTGCTATCCTCTTCCGCTTCACCTGCTATCCTCTTCCGCAACCATTTCCAGGATAATTTTAAAGGTCTCCGATGTTTGTTTTTTTTTTTTTAGATTTTTAGTTCATTTAATGACACAAGTTTTACAAATTAACTCACAGCTGGGAGAGAAGATGTGGATTCTTTTCTTTCTCAATGCCATTTGCGCGTAAGTGAATATAACGAAAAAAATCTGCAATTGGGCCTTCGGCTTTCCGATTAACAATCCATTACACCACCCGAACACCCAAGCTTACAGCACCTGTTATTAACAAGCTGTCACCCATCTAGGCTCAACTTTCCTTAACATCGGGGATCAAATGAGAAACCGTGATTCAACGTAGTGGTATCATTAGAAGAGATTAGTCTGCCATAAGAGGCGGAAGACAAGGGGGTGTCTTCTCGCCAGATCTCTTGAACATTTCTAGTAAAGCTCTATTCTAAAGGAGCTGGGGAACCTACCAAAACAGGGCGGGGAGAAACTTAATAATATAAGATAAGCAGATGACCCTCTCTTGATGGCATACGCAGAAAGAAAACTACAGGACCTTTTAGTCAAGGAACTAAAGGAAAGTGAGAAAAAAAAAGGATTAGACATCAAATCTTGAAAGGAAATTTATCCAGAACGGTCACTCTTCTAAATCCTTTACTCCAGTGCGCCATTCTTGTTTCTATTTTGTTTTTAATTTTCATTAAGAACCTTTAAGATGGCATCAGCTCTTAACCTGTTGTCTACGCTGATCGCACAACCATTTACTCCTATCTCGATAGTAAGTCCGATTCGTTCAATGAACACAAATTGACGGCTGATGTCAAAAAAAAAAAAAAACGATCTTCAGTTTGTTGTTAACTGGAGCAAAGAATGGCTTGTTAATTTTAACTCCTCCAAAACTAAATTACCCTCTATTAATAATCTGAGAGATCCCTCTCTGCTTTCCATCAGTATGTTTGATGTTAAGCTGCAGGAAAATGACACGTTGCATCTTCTTGGAGCAAAATTTAGCTCTCATAAGGCATGTCGATAGCAAGGGAGATAAGATGAAGCAGCGAGCCACGTAACTGAAGAGCTTGCGGGAATAGATGTCGGAATAGGGGTGTTACACCATTTACCAGGACAAAAAGAAAAGAAAGGAAAAAGAGAAAGAAGATAAAGGAAAAGAGAGGCGAGACTTAAGCTTAGATGATAAAAGAAGCCACCCACGACCGGAGACATTGACAATGTTATTTTTGTAAGTAGGAAATGGCGAAAGGTTTCATTACCATTGCAGAAAAAATTCTAAATGGATAAGAAAATCGACTGTGTTCTGGTGGCGGACTTGTATTATCGGGGATAGATAACAGCCACTTAATGCTGGCGAACATCTAATTAACAAACCACAGGCCGGCTAGCTAAAAAACTCGGAGATAATTGACAATGTTATGTTGATAATGGAAAAGACAGTGAAAATTCTGACCACCAATGCCGTAGAACTGTCTGACAAAAAACAGGTGAAATACAGAGCTTTGGATAGATAAGAAAAATTAACTGTGTCAGAGGGGGCAAACAATATTGTCGGGAAAGGATTTAATAGGTCGTCTGCTAACCGCACACGAAGCCAACCCTGGGTCACGTCTTGGCCGTTTTTGATAAGACATCTATGGGTGTTAGAATTCGGTTGTGATAACAAAACTATGTTATCAGAAATTGGCACCAGGAATGCACATACGGCTAGAACAATGGAACTGTTTTTTTTTTCGAGACGACGGTCGACTGTGTTTTCGCTAGACGACTAACTCACTTGATAATTGGCATTGATAGATCCCAGATGACATTGGGGGATGAGAGCTGCGATTAAGGAAAGAAAAGGAAAAGAAAAAGATTGAGCAAGATATTTTTTTTTCTTCCTAAAACAAAGCCAGCCGGATCACACACACCCGGCTGGACGCCATTGCCCGAATGATAACGAGGGCCAGGCGGAGGTGATCACGTAACGCAAGGGGGGAAGCCGCCGCCGCCCATTTAGAGGATAGGTATGAGAAGTTGCTACAAAGAAGTGGGGAGAACCGTTGACGCCCCTATGAAGTATGGTGAAATATCCATTTGAGAATAAGAGAAGGTGGAAGTAATAAAAGACTTCCAAAAATGGAAAGGAGTGGAAAATTCCTAACCAAAAATAAAAGAAGTGGATATATATTTAGAATTATCGAGGAACCTCCAACCCCGACAAACCCACCCCGGTTTTGATCGGCGTCCATATAAGCAAAGTCGCAGCGAGCAAAAATCAGTTCAGAGTTCAGCAGAGAAGAGTGCAGAGTTCAGTTCAGAAGAGTTCAGCAGAGAAGAGTGCTCAGTTGAAGTAGGCCTCGCACCAGCTGACTAAGATTCGCGCAACTTCCGAACTCATCTTCAATCCAAGAACAATTATTTTGAAGAGCGACTTAGATCCATACCACCAAAATAAGTTTTTCGACTATCGCCTGAAGACACACCAAGAACCAATTTCTTAAAGAACCGGCAACTTAAGATGTTAAAACTCGACTAACAAAAACAACGTGTCACAATCCATATAGGCGGACTGGGGATCAACGCAGTTACTTTGGTAACCAGACGTTGGAAGCGAGTTGGGAACGACGAGGCTGATATCGAATCTAACCAGATTCCCATCCGAATCACCAAAAGGTTAGAACGTCACATTTGGGTGCCGCGACCGATACCAAGCCAGTTGGTCATCACAGGACGGGACAACACGACTGACGCAACAGGCGGACGTCACGTTTGGAGCGGCGACACCCGAACGAAGCAGCGAGGAGCGAGCGAAGTCTGTGTTGAGGGACTTCACAGGGGCAAGAGGTTTGCTACATTGTGAAATCCTACTAAGGGTTACAAAGAATACGATGCTTTGGGGGGTCATGATCGTCGACGCCATAAAAGGACACACTATATAGAATTAGTAGTAGCCAGTGATATTGAAATGTTTATTTACGCTATTTTAAATTTAGTACAAGACGTTATAGCTGTGGGATTCTTTTAATTATTTAAACAGGAAAGGGACTCGTTACACCTCGTGCTAACATTCTGGGGATGACATGAAGCAGAAAAGCTATATTGATTTCATTGCTAGGTCAGCTGCTAACAAATTTGGTTCACTGTGTTGTGTTATACATTTTTTTCTTTCTATATTCTATATCTACAAATCTACCATTTGTCCATTCTTAGAATGCTGCTACCACATACGGTTCAGTGTTCCAGTTATTTATCTTGAACTCTTTTATAAAATCCAAAGAAGAATCCGCAATATTATTGGTCTTCACCTAGCATCTCGTCTTCAGCCACTTTCCCACCGCCGTAAAGTTGCTTCCCTGTGCCTTTTCTGTGAGTACTTTCATAGTAATTATTCTCAACTGATCTCAACAATTTACAGTCGGGTTGACTAGATGTAACGGTAAATTCTATGCTAAGCGTTTCTTTCCTCGCACTTCAGCCGTGTGGAACTGCCTGTTACAATTTTTGGATACATTAAACTAGCGAGCCAACCCAAATGACTTGACTCACTTTATAGTCCACCAATAGAAGGTTAACCAATCAGAAGACGTAAAATATTCAATCCGTCGTGTATAAAGGCGGCCATTTTGTTTACTCTCTCCGAATGTCAAGTGCTAACTTGTCAGTCGAAAGAACAGAAGTAAGAACTACTGAACTACGCTGTGCTACTTTACCGGGATATCCACTGCTAACCTGAACTTCGCTTCCCTACTGTCTTCGAAATATTCACTGGTAACCTATGGATTCTATACTCGAAGACGACCGTCATCGTGAACAACACTGCCTTCCTGTTCCATGATTTCTAGCCAACTTTAATCTGCAAACATTTCAATGCACTGCCAATTGCTATCTAGTCTTCCTGATTACTCTTTTCTCTTGTCGTTCCTTCGTAATGTTTCTGTTTTCTAATTCTTCCACACCCTGTAACCCACTTATCTTAGAGGCTTTACCGCCTTGCTTGGAATCAACCCGATTAAAAAATATAAGAATAAACAAAGTTTATTTGTCAGCAAAATACCAAAATACCAAAATACCATCTACGTTTAGCTATCTCGAAAATATCCTATATACTTGCGTATCATGCGACCCTTGAAGACCTAATTTTGAAGCTAATTTGACTACAGTAAATGGATAGATAGTCTGGTCAACAGTATAGCCAGGGCCAGCAGTACATATGCTAATTTTATATCTCATGTATTATGAGACCCCCTTAAAATTAGCTTTAAAATTAGGTTTTCAAAAATCGCATGTATATACGATATAGAATCAATGGATACAGGGTTATTCAATACAGACAGAGTTATTAAAAAAGAAAGAGCAGGTTTCTAACGTGTAATAAATACAAATAGGAATAGACAGAATTTATTCAACACATATCAAGATAGGAAATGGTTCAAAGTTATTAAAATAAATTAACATTTTTTCTTAAGCATCTGTCTATATTTCTGAGATAATGTATTATGTACACTATTTACATTATTCGGACTATTGTCCTTATCTTTGTTGCCATATTTATTACAATGTTTCGGCCCTTCAGTATCTGTCTATATTTCTGAGATGAGGTATTATGTACACTATTTACATTATTCGGACTATTGTCCTCATTTTTGTCGCTATATTTATTACAATGTTTCGGCCCTTCAGTATCTGGCGATATTTCAGAGATGAGGTATTATGTACACTATTTATATTATTCGGACTATTGTCCTCATCTTTGTCGCCATATTTATTACAGCGTTTCGGCCGTTGTAACAACAAAAATTGCAATATGAGCTCTGGTAAAACTTACATTGATAACAGCAAAAAAATGCAATATGGGCACTAGTAAAAACGATGGCTGAAGACATTAGGTTTATAATACTCAGAAATTCATGCACAGAGATGACCTCATGGCCACAAACAGGACCCAGAGATTGTGGGTTCAATACCTGGTTAAGGCCGTAGAGAACATGGAGAGGGGAATTAACAGGAGATAACTGATAACTGATATCTATTAGACATAGCACGTAGAACTAAA